CCTTCCTTCCTTCCTTCCTTCCTTCCTTCCTTCCTTCCTTCCTTCCTCCCTTCCTTGTTGTGTCTTTACCTAGTTTTGGTAACAGAGTTATACTGGATTTGTAACAGAGTTTGGGAGTGCTCCACTTGCTCCTATTTTTGGGGTAATTTAAGTGGAGTTGAGTGTAGGTCTTCTTTGAAAGTCTGGGAGAAATATGTGAATCCATCTGGCCCTGGACTTTTCTTTTTATGCTGGAAGGCTTTTTATAACTATTTCAGTCTCCTTGTTTGTTATGGGTTCAAGTTTTTTATTTCTTGGTTCAATTTTTGGTAGTTTGGCTGAACCTAGATATTCATTTTTTTTTCTGTTAGGGTTTCCAACTTAACAGTGCAGTTTTTTTTTTAAATATTACCTCATAATATTCTGAATATTTTTGGTTTCAGTTCTAGTATTTCTATGTTCCTTTGTGATTTTTAAATTTTGGATTCCCTGCCCCCCCCTCAGTTAGTTGGTACAAAGCTCTGTCAATCTTGAGAACTTCTTAAAGAATCACTTCTTTAAAGATTTATTGATTCTTTCTATTGTTTTCTTTATTTCTATTTCATTGAGTTCCATCTAATTTTATTATTTCTTGCCATCAACTGAGTTTGGATTTGGTTTGATCTTGATTTTTCACCTTTATGCATTGCATCAGTAGGCTATTTATTTATGCTTTTTCTGATTTTTAAAATATGGGCACTTATAGCTATAAATTTCCCTCTTATGGCTGCTTCCAATGTGTCCCTGAGGTTTTGTTGTGCTGTGTTTTTGTTTTCATTTAGTTCCAGGAAAAATTTAAAATTTATTTCTTGATTTCTTCTTTAAGTCATGAATTATTCAGTAATGAATTATTTAATTTCCATGATATTGCATATCTGCTAGAGATTTTCCCCCCTGTCAACTTAAAGTGTTATTACATTGTGTTCAGATAGGTTACTAGGAGTTGTTCTAATCTTTTTGAGTTTATAAATTTGTTCTCTTTTCTAGGATATGTGCTATTTTAGAAAAGCTTCTGGGTGGTGCTGAGTAGAATGTGTATTCATGGTGTTTGGGTGGAATATTCTGTAGAGATCTGTTCTGTTCATTTGGTGTGTGATGTCATTTTATTCAGATTTTTTGTTTATATTTTGTCAAGGTGACCTGTTGATTGGGAAAAATAGGGTATTGAAATTACCTACTATTAATGGAATGCTATTAGTCCATGTTTTTAAATCCAGTAGTAGTTTTTTTTTTTTTTTTAATGAAATTGGGTGTATCAGAGTTTGGTGCATATATGTTTAGGGTAGTAATGTCTTCTTGGTTAACTGTTTTTTTTTAAATTTATTTATTATTTATACAACATTCTGCCTGCATACCAGATCTTACTATAGATGGTTATAAGCCACCATGCAGTTGCTGGGTATTGAACGCAGGATCTTTTGGAAGAGCAGCAAGTGTTCTTAACCTCTGAGCCATCTCTCCAGCCCCTGTTTTCTTGATTAGAAAAAAATATCCCTTTTTTTAATCTCTTCTGATTAGTTTTAATTTGAAGTATATTTTGTCACATATTAGGATAGTGACTTCTGTCTGCTTTCTGGTCCCATTTTATTGGAGTATTTTTGGCCATCCTCTTATTCTAAATATGTGACAAACTTTAAAGCTAAGAAGTTTTTATTTTCGACAACACAAAGATGGATTTTATTTCCTGATACATTCAGTCAGCCTATATCTTTTGATTGGAGAATTAAGGTCATTGATATTTATTATTAAAATGTTTGTGTGTTAATTGCATCACTGTGTTTTTTGATTTTTGGTGTTGTTTGTTCTCAGTAGTACTTTATGTTTTAATAATTATGGCTTTGTAGTTTTTCTACAGTCTCTCTGTTATGTTCATTCCTATCTCAGTTCAAAACTTTGCTTATTGTATTTTCTTTAGGTTTGATTTATTGGGTGCAAAAACTTTTAGGCTGGAAAATTTATCATGGAAAGTTCCCCTTTTTCTTTCCATCATTACAGATAGTTTTGCTGGGTATATTAGTCTAAGCTGGCCAGCATCATGTATTAGAACTTGGAATTGATTGCTCCAGGTTTTACTGGCTTTCAAAATTTCCATTTCCATTGAGAGATCAGATGTTATTCTGATGTGTTGTTTTCTATGTGTGACTTAAGTTTTTTTTTTTTTTTCTCTTGAAGCCTTTTTTTTTTTTTAAATTATGTACACTTAGTGTTTTAGTCATGATACACTGTAGATATTTTCTTTTCTGGTCTTGTATATTTTTGTTCTCTGTGTTTTTTGTATATATTTTGGAGGGTCTTTTCTTAGTTTGGAGATAAAACAAGGGCATATTTCATGAATTTGAGTTATTTAATTTTAAAAGTAATGCTGTATATATGTTTCTTTATATAGATATATGCATGTGTGAGTATGGTGCCTCTTCAGAATCCTGAAGAGAATACCAGAGAGGTTAGAGCTGGGCTCTGGTGAGCTGTTTGATGTGTCTGCTGATACCCAAACTTGAACCCTCTGCAAGCACAGTATGTCCTCTTAACACTGAATCATCTCTCCAGTGCCTATAGAATTTTTTTTTAAAGATTACTCATATTCTTATCCAGTTTCTAATAATTTCCTCTTTCAGCAATTTGAATTCTTTATTTTCCTCAGGTGGTTTAGCTAAAAGTCTGTTAATTTTGTGCATTTTTTAAAAAGAACCAACGTTTCTTCATTTTTTTCTCTAATTTTTCTGCTTTTTCCTATATTTCCAGTCCTTGTAATTTTCATGCTTCTGCAAGCTTTAGGTTTACTTTTTCTAGTTATTTAAAGTTTACAATTGGTGACCAATTTGTGGCCTTTGCCATTTCTGTGTTTATGTTTACAGCTGCAACCTTCCTTCTCAATTTGTTGTTACTGGGTCCCCTTCAGTACTGTACTCTCGTTAGTTTATGTTTTTATTTTCATTTGTCTCATTTATTTTTGAATTTTTTTATAACCCCTTGGTTACTTAAGAGAAAGATGTTTAATTTCCATATATCTTTGAGCCTTATAGTTTTCTATTAACTATAAGTTGTTAATAGAAAACATATTTTATGTGCTTTTAATTTTTCAGTTTTAAAATATGAATATTTTTATATACTGCTTGAAAAATATCAGACATGTCTACAGTGTTTTTTAAAAAAATCTCTTCCACCCCAACTAATGCTCTCAAATTCCTCCAATGACATACCAACATGTATCCCTTTTGACTTTGTGCCCTTTAAAAATTATTATTGTTATTAATAGCTCACTGAATCCACTTAATGCTGACCATGAAAAGTTGTGCTGCCATCCACTGAGGTATGTGCAACCTATCAGCAACTGCATCCCCAAAGAAAAGTACCCCTCTCTCTCTTTCTCTATCTCTCTCTGTGTCTCAGTAGGCACAAACTGTCCGTAATTTTTCCGTCAGCGGTAGTGACTCATGAGTGCCTCCCCAGGCTATGCTGTCATTTTGACTGGCTCAATCATGTGCAGGGGTCTTGTACAGGTAACTACACCTGCTGTGAAGTTTATGTGTGCATCAGCCTTGCCATCTCCAGGAGTCAGCACTGTACAGCTCGAATCTCTGTCTCCTCATTTGCATACTTTCTGTCTGCCATGGATGACTTACCTATGGGTGACCATTCACAGTCACTTATTCTCCACACCTTGAATAGTCATTAACCACTATTTACTGAAAAAAGAAGTTTCTTTGGCTAAGATTTGGAGCACCACAAATCCGTATATATATCTTTATCTGTCTATTTATCTATCTATCTGTTTTTCAGTTTAAAAAATAGTCAAGTTTGGTTTGTGGCCCAACATGTGGTATGTTTATTTTGGAGAACATTTCATATACATTTGATAAGAGCATACACTCTGCTTCACTGAATGGGAGGATATAGACTTATGGCATGTTTATTGTTTTCTAGTTGTTTTTTTTTTTTACTGGACTTCCTTAATTAGCATATCTTTCCCGTCCATTATTGATTATGGGGTGGTCAATTCTCTATTGTAGAACTGCTTCTCACAGATATATTTAAAGTTTTCTCTATGTGTTTTGTGGGCTCTGTTGTTAGATGCATATGTATTTATGACTACTATGCCTTCTTGGAGGATCAAGCACATTCAGCCTTTTGTCACGTTGGCTATGTGTGTCTGGATGTTGGTGAATGCTTCCCTGATTTCTTTTTGTTTTCTAACCTAAACGTGTGCTGTATAATAGTTCCTTGCCACTCATTCTGTTTGCTCAGTAGTGCATGTTGGTATCTTATTTCTGAGCTTTGACCTAGGTAGCATAGAGAAGAATATCAGACAAGTGATTGTCACGCATGTAAAGGAAGTCAAAATACAGCACAATGGCAAACCTTAGTGAA